AAAGAGTTTTCGCTTGGCATTTGATCCATCTTCAGGAGCTAAAACGCAGAAATGATTTACAGAAAGAGGTTGATTTGCTTTGTAAACCGCGTGTTATGGTTCTCGAAGATGATCATTCAGTGAGATCAACAAAATTGTAATTTTTTCGGTTTACGCTTCGTGCTGATTTTCAGGTTGTATAATCAGCCATCAGGTCGGCCAAGGTGAATTGCAGAGCTGTGAGGCGTTTGTATCAGATGGCATGGCCGGATTTCTTGTCCATTCTTGTTGGACCAGGCCAGAACAATCACTATGCTGTCACAGATGTCAGCAATTCAACGATGGTTACCTGCTTTTCGGCTGGTTACACACAAGCAATGTGGGGTAAACTCCTTACTCAAGGGAATTCGCGGCGTAAACATGGATTATTCTTTCTCCAGTTTCGAACTCTCTCCATCCGCAGTTAGAAGCCCCCCTCTTTGTCATGTGCCGCAGAAGGAACGTGAGGAATCTTCCTTGCTCAAGGGAACCAGCGGTTAAGTGAAATTGTTTTCCTCTATGGAGATATGAACCAGTACTTTCAGAGTTGGCTTCCGACCTTCTGTTACTCTGCACCCGCACCCTGGTATATAAACTACTATGTGCAGCAAACCTTATAAAAATCATCATGGTTAATATCTATAACTTAGCGCGGCTTAACATAGTTTATTCGGCGATTGTGCCATAGTCTTCCGTCGGTTTGTGTGTCCTGTAGGAAGTTACTAATAACGGAGCGGTGCAAACCGTTGTGAAAATCCGGTTACTCGGTTATGGTATACTAGCATTATCGAAGTTGACCCCGGAATATAGGGATAGTTTTGATTTTTCTGTAAAATATGCCTCAGTGTTGAAATTATGCAAATTAACTCGTCCTTAAATCTAACCTAGCCTCAGTATTGGAGGGAACCATTGGCTGCCGTAGCTCTTACTGATTTCTGAGAAGGGCACATCAAAAATAGCCGTCCACCTTGCTTCTTACCCTGCAAGCGAGTCAATATGATTTTGAAGGATGCGTATTATGCTCCATAAGGATTGATGCAGTGCGATCTGAAGCGTCTGTTAAATCGCATATAAGACAGTTGGCTCAATAGACACTTTAGAGCCTGTCGTGATTAATATTTCTCGTTTAAACCTCACCATAAAATTATAAAAGTAAATGTAGCCCTAAATCCAACCTCGCCGCAACGTTGGACGCATCAAGTGAGGGATCGGTTCGTACTAACTTCCGGAGAAAGCACGGAGAAGAAGGCTTTGCGCCATGCTGCCCACCTGCTGGACACAGGTTGACCAATCTTTTGCAGAATGGACGGAAGAAGAAGGCAATATTCGAAAACAAAAAGAAATAAGTTCCTTCGCATGTACACCCCATGGTAAGCAGTCGAGCATCGACATATTACTCACACCTCTGACCTTTCAGATTATACTCAGTCCGTCTTCAGCGTCACAGCAGTAGAAACAGGTGTAGTGTCCGTCTAGTTCAGGATGGTCTTACATGATTGATGGCGCTAGTGACTGATCTTGAACGTCCGTTTGACATTTTCGGTCCGTATGTGAATTAGACCAGTCTTTTTTTACCGTTGTTCTGAAGA